GACGTACAGTGTACGTCGCCAGCATCGGGGCTGTTTAAACAGACTCCCGGTGACTTTTGCCGCCGGGAGTCTGTTTAAACTTGTAGAGCCGACTGTCGGCTTTACAACAGAAGCGATCCTTTCTTACCTCTTCCCTTACGTAGCATCCATCATAAGCAGCACCAACTACCATTGTGTCATCAGGTCTCCTTACTACTGAGAGGCCGCAAGCAGAATCATTGGCAAGACTCTGAAATTCATCCTGGAAATCTGAACAGGAGACATATTGAAGTTGAGATTTCTACCAACAACTCAGATTGGAAAGACTCAGGTGCTGCCACATTACATTGTGGAACATGCAATGCAGGGTCAGATATGAGTATTACATGGAGGGAGATGACACCGGGGTGGTCACATATGAGAAAATTAGACTTGTAGACCAGCAAGAAACCCTCCAAAGAATATCAGTCCTGTGGGGACACCGCCTGGTACCCCACTCACCATCTCAGGCTACTATGGATAAGATGATTGTCATGTAATTGAGCAGCGATCATACAACTCCTACATCTGCCATGAAGCAGCTCAAGTACATGGCCAGTAAGTGTATGCTTAGCTACACTCCGTACCAGGTATCCCAAGTAGAGGGAGGGTGACTGCGGGTGGTGCCATCAGTAGCAACAACTATATGTAGACATCACCAGCACTCCAAAATCCATTTAGAATCACCAAGTCACTAAAAGCATTTTGGGGCCACACAGGGTCCCCTCCATCAGGCTCAGCAAGAACAACTTTGACATCACTACACTGGGGGGGGGGTCTATCAGGAATCAATTGTCAGTAAGCCACAGTTGAAAGACTACACACTACATATCCATGTTTCAGGAGACCCCAATTCTAGTTGCCTGGTTTCAACACTGAGCCACTAACAATTGTAAATGAGTTTGTACTTCACTCAGCGGCGTATTTAACTTTGCTGCTGCCCTAGTCAAGGCAGCAGCGCCGCCCCCTCCCCCGCAGCTTCTTGGAAAATCCCCCCTCCCCTGACTGACCCGCCGCTGCTCATACAGCA